AAATCAATCTCTGCCTCAAATTCATTTCTATCTAGGCTCCTATTTTGTGACAAAGCACCAAAATAAATAAATTCTAAGCTTCAGCCCTACAGGTATAAAGTAGAAATTAATAGGATTTTTGCAAAGGTCTTAAAAAATAATATATCTTAGGTCCATCAATTAATAGCCTTTGTTTCCCAGTGTTACATCTAAGGAAAGAAGTAGACATCTGCAGAGTGTATCTGAAAAATATTGGTAAGACCTTGACACACAGGAGTCCTGAGTCATCCTGAAGACCCCTTTTTTTCTCCACTGACCACAACTCAAGCAAAGCTCCTAAGTTATCTATCTAGTTATTAGATCGATTCTAATGAAAGTTATACTCCCTTTCCTCCCCCTTTCATTTTAACCTGATCAAACCTTTTGGCAGCTCTGTATTCCCATTTGTGATGTTTTATGTCAGAACTCGTTTCAGGAACTGTCCCTGGAGCACAAGACAGGTCACAAGTCTCTTACGAAATTGATTAGCCAAAGCTAAAAGTATTCTCTAGAACCACACTGTGATACTGCTCAATATCTGTTACACAAACATGTTTACATTGATACTGAGTATTTTCACAATTCCATGTTAGCCCAACAGATTTAGAGTCTTTAACCACTCAGCAGCATCCAGTTTTAGGAACAAAATTAACATCAACAAATAAACTGCAATTTTCAAATGTATTAATACTTTCTATTCAATTTAATTACTCAAAATTAACACTATGCACTACAGAGCTGTAAAGTACCAACAATCCTGATCATTTGGTGTACAATGACATTGTTACTCTGAAATTCTGTCTCAGCCATGAGATTTGCTTTTGTCTCTATTGGTGATTGAAGGGAGAACGAGTCTCAGTAGAGAAAAACTGCCTGCTTTCTGAATTGACTTCCAAGTTACCCACAGCCTGCTTCAGAATAGGTTAACATACAATATGATCTTAGTTACACTGGAGTCATTCTAGAGATTTTCTACTGCCTGTGTCAATCTATCTGTATCTATATATATAACATATCATCTATACACACTAAGAAAACTAAGATCAGAATCTGGACCCTAAAATCTATTTTTGCAGAATCACATTTCTCTCTTTTGAAAACAGTTTTCAGCCCTTCAAAGACTTCAGAGGGAGGAGACTCCACTGGCTTCTCCTCAGTGTTTCTTTGAGTTCTATAGGTGGGATACTATTTCCAGGGAATGTAAAAAAGATGCACAAATGCAGAAATATTTCCATTCGTCCTTTCAAGGTACTTTGCCATATCTTGCACAGCTCGTTGAGGTTTTTGCATAACAATACCAATGATTTTAAAAAACATATATATATATATACTCAAGAGAAGAAAAAATAGAGAGGCAGCAAGGGACAGGGAAAAGTTTAGTCTAGAAAATGGTGAGCCAGTAAACTCCAGTTAGGGAATGTTTTTTCTGTCCTCACTCCCCACAGTCTGTACTCGTTTTGCACGGAACTCAGTGAGAGTTTTAAAAGTGATTTTAGGAGGTTTTTTTCCCTCGTTGGTGATGGCGAATTTTTTTTTCAGTGACTAATAACCATGGGGTTGTGTTTCACCCTAATGATAAGGGCTTATTTCACCTGAACACTATCAGGAACTCCAGGAGTAGCAAAGGATTTGAAGAATTGGCCAGATATTGGTGGCAGTTAATATTTAGAGTGATCCCTGAAGTTTGAGATGCATCATGTGTAACTAGCAGAATTTTACAGAGGAATAGAGAGCTGGGGAGGAACATGTGAATGCATATGTGCTGATGGGAAATCTTCCTGTTTAAGTAATTGAAAAAAACTCTAATTGTTTTCCACAGGGCCTAGTATTCACTTTCATGTTTCTCCTTTAAAAAAAAAAAATATTAGTTCAAGGAAAGTTGGAGCCTTTCTGTGGCTTTAGCATCAAAACTCAGGCAGCTTCATTCTCCCTGTCCCACAGCTTGGGTTTGCTCTCTCACATTTTCCTTCTCTCCTTCAGGGAACATTGACAGCTTTCTTGCCTATCTTCCATCGGGAACAGGAAGCATAAATTATTTCTTCATTCTTGCTTTATTCTTCCTTATGCCTTCCTCTATTGTTCTCTGAGGAGTTTAAAGCCATTTAATTTCTGTATGCCCAGGTGCACCAAGCAAATGATGTACCTTCCAAATGTGTTTCATCCATCTACATCACTCCTACTAAACATCATCCTTCTGATTAGCTATATTCATTAAGTTTTGCTCTCACCCGTGTGGAAAAGTTTGTCATCTGTGCTCTGTATTTTATATAAGCTAATACTTTCCCAGAACATATTCTCAAAATTCATTTCTCTTGTTTTCCTTTTTACTCTTCAAAGTTAATTGAATTTCATCAGCAGTTTTTCATCTATTATAAAACTGTTTAACACATCCCAATCCATCTCAGGCATATGATTATTTTAGCAGCATAAGCTCACATGAAGTTGCTTTACATTGCGTTTCAGGTATGTCAGAGTGAGGTCAAAAGGGATTACATGCACTGTTCTGTCATGAGACAAAATTCCTTTCAGGTGAGGGGTGTGCACTGCATTGAAAAGTGAATTCTCTGGTTAAGCTGTGTCAGAAGCCTGGCCAAAAAATTATCAAAACAGAAAAATGGGCAGCCCTAAATGTACAGTTTCTGTAGAAGGAGAGCATCTGTGTTAGACAAATAGTATTTTCTTATGTAATTCTTACTTTCTTAATTAATTCTTTCTCTGAATCTTTAGAATATTTTAGCAATACATTCATGAGCTATTTTGTCAGCCCTTTACAGAATATTAGGTTAACTCCAGTTTTCTTTACATCTCCTTTTCCTATGCATCCATATAGTATATCGCCCCTGAAAATTCTAACACTTTTAGTACCATGTTTTAGTCCTGCTTTAAACTATCACAAATTGTGGCTATTCCTATCAGCTTCTGAATTTGTCTTAGTTAACATCCTAGGTAATTTCAACAGCAGTCTTAAAAGAGACTCATTCCAGCTACAGTCATCAAAAAAAACAAGTGAGGACAGAAGAAAGTGGAGGAAAGTTTCAATTATCTTCATGAATAGATCAAAAAAGTATCTTTCAACACAAAACTGAAAAAAAAAAACCCTAAAAACCTGAAGATATAACTTTGGGAAAAAGATTAATCACATGATGCCATGCACATATCTGAACTGCAGCCTGAGAAATGCATGCAGTTCGGGGTATTTTTTCAGACAAATTGATAGATATAAGTATGTTTACAGAACACAACAGACCTTGTGTTAAACTGTCCTCAGCTAAACTCCAAACATGCCTCTTCCCATTCTAAAAAAAGATGGGATACAAGCTTTAACCTCATCTAACCTCACAAGCTGTGTAATTAACCTTGCTGATGAAAACATGAAACATGATTAACAACTTCAAAACACACCACTAAACACTGTCCTGTAGAAGCTTTCACTGTAAAAGCTCCAAGTTGTTCAGCTGCTTTGAACCAAGAGCAAATGAGGCAAAGTCTGTATCAGTAAAAGAACTCTGCCTTTGTTAATCACACTGTCCAATACCTACTTTTCAGAGGCAACACCTGTGTACCAGCCAACACAGAATCTAGCTGTCCCATATTAAAAAGAAGAAAACTACAAGACCGTGCAAGAGTACATAGGACACTTCTTGACACTGACCTCATTTCACTATTGTTGACAAATGTACTGTTACATTAAAAAAACTGTCTAAAGATGAAGGCTTGGGTTCCAGCTCTTTCTGCTAAAGAACAACTCCAGGATAGGAATTCATTTCTCTCACATGACATATCTCAACAATATTAGCAACAGACAACTGCAGACAGTGTCCCAAAAGCAACCTAGGAATCTGTCTCTTTCAAAAATATTCCTCATTTCTGTGTATAGACACATAGAAATGCCTGAGACCAACATTTGGCTTTTCTTACTGATGCCTGGATTCAGCCACCAACTGGACACATCCAGTTTAGGTATCTAAATCTAGGTAAGTATATGTGCACTGAGTAATCTGCTTTAATGGCCAGAAGTGCTCTGGGAGTGGACGCAGCTGGCAGCGTGGAAGCAGCTGCTGTCTTGGAGCCACCCCTCCCCAGCACAGAGCATTGCCCACTCAACTGTGGGCACTAAAATCCCTGTTCAGTACAAGGAAAGGACTTAGAAAAACCCTCCAGGTTCCCACCCATAGCTATTACTTGCACAGTTCAGGCTCCTTGGCCTGCACAGGATGAGGGGCTTGACGCAGGAGTGACTTGCCCAAGAACATGTTCCCAGAGCCATTCAGGTGTGCTGGGGTATCTGACATCCCTGCATGACACTGACAGAGACGATACAGGACCTACAGAACATCTTTGCCCTCTGCAGCACTAGTTAAACACCAGGCTAGACTCCTCTGGGAACTTTTTGCAGAGGACTGAGTCAAGTCTCCAGCCTCTTTATTTTATTCTGCTGATTTTGTCTGGGGCAAATTCTCATAGCATGAAAAACATGAAAAGGTGCTGAAAGCAAACTGTACTGACTGGATTAATTAGGCACTGAGACCCATCTAGTGACAGTATTTTCTCATTCCCATTGAAACTGGTGTTTTCCTTCGTAAGTGATACAAGTGGAGAATATCAGGTTTATAATGTTGTGAGCAAGAGAAAAATCAGCAGCCCTTGTAACATTTATAATGCAAGAAACCTATTTAAATTATTTTGATAGCTCAAGCAAGAATGCTGGATTTACCAAGCCAAATTAAATTCAGTGTTTACTTGCTTGAATTGAGAAGTTATAAATCATTGCTTTGGCAACCATCCCAGATAGCAATAGGTTATGAGTATTAAAAGGGGATTATATTATGAATTCTTTTTTAGAAACTAAATATTTTCCTTATGTCTCAAAAATTCCAGTAAACAGTGTCCAAAATATTTGGAATTTTCTATAAACATTACAGTAAGTTAACAACCTTTGTACCATATGTAACCTTCCTTACAAGTGACCAATTTTGTAGGTATTTATCCAAGTGGATCTTCATCTTGGAGTATAAATTGAAACAGATGTCAGTGAACAAATACAATTTTACTTTCTAGCATGTTCACAGCAGCAAGCCTGAGAAAAGGCAACAATTCCAAAATCAGAAACATGGTGTTTGCTGGTACATTCACCAGGGTGTTCTGAGAGTCTCTTTTTACTGTCCTGACTGAGCTAAAATCACTTAATCTTCCACTAGCAGACACAAATATGAGTAATACCTCTGAGACTGACAAAGGGAAGAGTTAATATAAAGGTCAGATAACAAAGAGCAAGGCACCACCTGGAATACAGAGTAAAAAATCAAGTTGCATCTTTCTTGACTTCAAAATGAATCCATCAAAGAAAGTAATGATATAGTTCCCAAGAGCAACATGCAAATCAGGGGATTAATCTCTAGCAAAATGTTTTATGTTATGGAAACCCACAAATAGATTTGATTCAGTGACAGTAAATCAAACATGTTGGATAGTTCTGTTTGACTGATGAGTATACATGCCACTGGCAGCAGGGCAATGACATACACAGGATCGCAATAAAATACGCTCGCTGGCAGTTCAGCAGCCATTGCTCAGTCACACTAAAGGGAAAAAAATAAAAAGAAAGCTCCAGGCAAAATTCAATCCAGATAATAAGAATATATTTTTCTTGTCTACTTTTTCCTTGCTACTCTTTTCTGCTGATCAGGGAATTAGCAACTTATAAAGATGGGGGGAAAAAAAATATTAAAATCTGTCTGCAAGGCTTTTTTGCTGTTATTGTTTTGTGCTATTAGTGACTTTCTCCAGCTAACGCATACCTGCATAGTAACTTTGATACATTATCTGCAAGTCTTTTCTCAACTCTCAAGCTCCACTGTATCTGACTGTGACCTTCCCACTCCCTATTAAAGCAGTGGTTAAGGTAGAAAGGGGCTGCCATTAGCGGTATTTATTGTCAGTGCAGAAGGAGACGCAATTGCCAGGGACATTCAGAAGATGAAGCTGCTCTGAATCACACTCTGGTCTAGTTTGTGTCTTTCTGGATGAGAAGCCTAGGGAGGCTGAGGCCAGGCTATTCCACACTACATCAGCTTTATTGCTTGGCTCCCAAGCACCAAGCTCTCCCAGCTACCAGGCTTCTTCAGCACATGCCAGAGTTTACAATTAAACAAGAACATCCGTGCCACTGAAGCCACACTGAAGCTACACCAGAGCCTACTGGTGTCTGCATGGATTGAGGAGTGCCTTGGATATGCTCTGGGAAGTGTAACTTCAGACCTTTAGACCTCACAGCTCAATGAACTCTGCCCAATCTTGACAGTGGCTGAGACAGAGGGTTTGCTACAAGGAGAAGGGCTGGAAGGAGGCAAAAAGGAACACCTGGGGTGCAGAGGAATAGATGCTAGCAGAGCCTCAGAGCACTTCAAGCTAACAAGAGATCTTCTATCATGAAGAGAGAGAGATCCATGAAAAACCTACGACAAAATAAGAAACACTATATATAACATATATATATATTTGAATTTTTTGGTTTGAAAAAAAAAGACAGAAAACAAAAATATTTTTTTGTGATAAACAGTCTAAACTTTTAATGAGAGTGAACAGGCCTGGAGAAGAAGGTGGCCAAGTCCAAACCCCACCAATTTTTGAATAAACAGAGAGTCCAGAGCAGTGAAAAAGAGCTCCAGACCCGATTATCTCATTATTAGACATATGAGTAATATCAAGTTTGTGTTGGCTCCCACTCAGCCTCCTCAGCATCTGTTATGGGTACAGATGGAAACCTGTGAGCTTCCAGAAAAATAGTAAAGGCTGTTTCCTATGGCAGGGATCAGGCTACTTGGCTTCCCAAGATACACACTTGTGCTAATGATGCTGCCAAGTAATAGTTCAGCAAAACTTTCTTTTTTTTAACTGTGGCAACCAGTTAGAATGTTTATTCAATGCTGTTTCCAAGGTTTTGCTCCTCATCTCCAAAGTAGGCTTGCTGTTAATGAGCAGATCACCTGATGTTCCTGGGAATCCCGTTTCTCCTACTGTTAACTCCTAACCAGCTCACTTTTTCATTCACAAGGATTCAGAACAGAAACATAACGGGATTACCTGGCAAGATTTTGGCAGCTGCAGGACTGCAAGTGTTGCCTCTGTGAGACAAAACCAGATACTAGCTTGTGCTGGACACATAGGTCCAGCCAGCTCCAATGGACTCACCAGGGAACACAGCTGAGCTCATCAGAAAGGAGGGGGGCTCCAGAGCAGGGGTTCCGTGCAGCCTCTGGAAAACCGTGGTGGAGTAGGTATCACACTGCAGCCTCTGGAAATCCCATGCTGCAGCAGCTGGACATCTTCTGAAGAAAGTTGCAGCCTCTAGAGAGCAGCAGACCTGGCAGAAAACTGTGGCCTCTGGAGAGGAGTCCACACAGGAGCAGGTTTTCTGGATCTGTGGCTTGTGGGGGCCCCACACTAAAGCAACCCATTCCTGAAGGACTGCACCCCTTGAAAAGGACCCACTCTGGAGCAATTCTTCAAGAACTACAACCTGTGGAAAGGAGCAACACTGGAGTAGTTCATATGGAGCAGATGCAACAGCTGAAACCCCACACTTGCACAAGGGAAAAGTGTGAGGAGAAATTAACAATAATAACAAGGCATTGTGGACTGACTGCAATTCCCATTCCCCCTTCAAATGCTCACAAGGGGAGAAGGTAGAGGAGTCAGGAATGACAAAGTCTGAAGCAGTGCTGGAGATAACTTGCCAGCTTGCCCTTTCTCAGACTGCAGCGATCACAGCCACCCTCAGACTGTAAATAGCCCCAGCAGCAGTAGAGCAAGGCTGCTCTCTACAGCACACAATAGACCTGCACCTAGGGTCAGATTAAAGATCAGGGAAGGGTCTTTTACATGGTTCCCAAGAAAATTTATTTCATTGGAACCTCCAAAAACAGAAGACACGGACCCCCACCATACAGCAATTTAAATATAGGGAAATCAAGGGGCGGGTGCAAATTCTAACCAATAGGGAGCACCTAGGGGAGGAGAGTAAGGTGGGGTTTACAACACAAACCAATGGGGAAGCAAAAGGGGAGGGACAGTTTACATAAACCAATAGGAACTTGAGTACAGGGTGATTGACAGGGAAGGTTCCAGATTAAGGGGTAGGTACAAAATGGGATTGACAATTCCATGGGAGGGAGAAGAGGGAGTGTTCAGGAACAAGGGGTAGGGTTTACAATGATTGATGGTAAAGGGGAGGAGATAATTTTGGTTAAACCAACAAAGCGGGGAGGGGGGGGGGATAAAATAGAACAAACCATGGTAAAGAAAAATTTCAACTTCTTAAAAGAAAACATACCACAAGAGATTTGAGTCTGGGAAGAATGGGGTTCATGCACATAAAATGCTTTAGTTTCTCTCTTTGCTTTTCAAAATTCTATCCTATTTTTAATTTGCAACAAATTAAAATTATCTTTCTCAAATAGAGTCTGTTTTGTCCAGGACAATAATTGGTAAGCAATCTCCCCATGAACTTTTTCATCTTATTTTCTTATCCTGTCCTGTTGCAGAGGAGGGCTGAGAGGAACGATGGGCATGTGGCAGTGAGCCAAGCTTAACTCACCCCAATGTGGGTTAGCTCATTCAGCTATCAAGACCAGAAAATGTGCAAAGCACAGGCTTTAACTCAGAAAAGTCCTCTGTAAAGAAAACAGTGAGTTGTAGTCTTCCCCAAAATAGGATCAGTGATCAGGTTACTTGCAACTCCCAGACCCTGCAGAGAAGAGAGATCAGTAATTGGGGGTGTTATGTAGGAGCTGTCTTGAATGTTCAAATTTTTTTCTGGTTATGCTTATTTTAAAGTTTGGTAAGCAATAAGAAGCTCAGTGCCCAATAAAGACTGCTGTTTCAGAAACATATGTTGATGACAGAAGTCACTGTAGGACCATAGACATACAAGGCAGCCTATGGTTTTGTTAACAGGGTAACTTGTACTGAATTAATGTGTTCAATTAATACAAGGCTACATGAGACAAGAATGAGATTTTACCACCTCATGTTCTCATAAAATATTGGTGAAATCAGAGTGTTCTGATGACCAATTTTTTAAGATATTTACAAGATCTAACTTTGATAATGATAAACAAGTGTAATGGTATACTAATTTAGAAACAACGCTAATAGAAATGTAAGTAAAAGAAGACAGAGATATATGAAAGTAGTTATGTTTTACAAGGTATGTGAAATCAGATCAAAACCTTTATCAAGTCCTCCTAGCCTCTTTAGAAAAACCTCTTCTGATAGAAAATGGAGAAGGCACAAAAATAACACCTTAAACCAGGTTACCTTCCAGCTCAGGACAGCTCATCTAAATCCCCATCTTTAACTGGGTAATCTTTGGATAATCTTGTCCAGCTAAGTAGTGCCACCAATTTCCATTTTTCATTTCTCAAGTTTACCCCAACTCTGATTTTAGTGCCCCTCCCAGGATAAACATATACAAGTTTTCTGGTAAAAGCTGTAAGAACTTGCTAGCCATAACATTTTGTTGAGATTTTCAGTGTGTAAGCACTGCTTTAAACATGCCAGGCAAATCTTTCTTCACCTGGGCACTGTTGTAGGTCCTAAGGAGTTAAGCAGAACAAATGCCTCCCTGCCGTATTGTTTAAAGACCAGTTCTATGAGCAGATGCTTGAATGTGTGTGCAGCTGTGGTGTGAGCCAGCTCAGGGACACTGCCCTGTCCCTCCCACACTGCTGGAACATAGGAGAAAGAGGAGAGATAACCTGCTTGTGAGGACTAGTTAGATCCATATGTCCTGACTGCCTTGGGGAGGAAACAATCCATTGCAGAACACATACAGATCCAGAGAGAGAAGAGAAAATTAAAACCTCCTCTTTTCACACACTATTAGCAAAGTTTCTTCTTTTGTGTAAGTGCCAAGGCAAGAGCTCATTGCTCGGTCAGCCATGTACATTTCCTAGCTGTATTCAGGTACTCATAGCCTGCTCTGCACTCCAGCTCCTCAGGAGACTCTTATTACAGTCATGTAGCTGCCATAACTGTGAGCCTTTATCTTTCCTCTCTAATAAAGGCAGTCCCAAGGGCAACCAGCAGCACTACCCACTCCACCTGCCACCTGCAGCACTCCACACAAGGGCTTCAGAGCCTGAGGTGGCTGATGGACAGCCTTGTGCATCTGTCCCTGGCAGCTCACTAACCCACCAGGGAATTACAGGTGTGCACTCCCTGGGCTACATTTCAGCCTGCACCCTTGTCCACAGCCATGACAGAGCATGCACAGTACTTGGTCTTAAGGGTGTCTTTATTACAGCTGTAACAGGAACTGGACAGAGCAAATCCATCTTGCATTTGTGGATGTATTTTGCTTGGGGGGATAAAAATGTGATGTTATTATAGCTACTGTTCTTTGCCCTGCTGTGTTTTTATGGGAACATAAGGGCAGATGTACTGGGCTGAGTTAGCTCTATAAACCAAACAACTTGTGTTTAACTGTGACCAGTCACACCATCCTTTCATATATCTCATCTTCTAATGTTGCTTGTTCTGGTATGTTTTTATACTTTTTTTTTCCGTATCTTGTCCCTCTTTAAAGTATCCTTAATGGTGAAGGAACAACAGAAAAAAATAAAAACCCAAAGTGATGATTTTCACAAAATCTAGCAAAGTTGTTGGGAAAAGGTGTGGAAATTTCAGAAACCAGTGTGATAAAGTTGCTAGATAATTGTATTTCATATCAGCATAAAAGCTAAATTATAACACTTTGTGCTGGTTCTTTCTGTGTGGAGACTGATGGAACTTAGGGATCATTGTAAAGTCCAACAGCAACGCATAAAAGTGCTGCATAATGTTTAGTAAGTTACCAAGGATAAGGTTTAACAGCTGAGAAAATAGAAGGATTTAGATTTTTTTTTTAAATAAATGCACAAATATTCTATTCAGTTTGAGTCTGACGAGGCTTCTGGAAAGATTTAATTCATATTGGATCCATTCAAATTGTCAGCAAAGGATTTGCCTGCCCTAATCTTATTTGAGAAGTGATGTTAACACTGTTTCTTTAGCTGAAAACAGCTAAAGAAGGTAAAGGCTGAAATTACATATTTTATAGCTTAATGAAAATTTATATATGCTTGTGACCATTGCTAAATTACATCTAGTGAGCTTCATATTTTATGTGTGTGTACACATGTTCATTTAAAAAGTTCTTCAACTTCAGCTGCAAATTCATGCTAACTTTCTAGGTATGCCTGATTTGGACTGCCAGAAAAAATTACTTTATACTAGTAATGCTATAGCAGGTGTTACATGTGTAAAAATCCACTATAGCTCCTTTTTGACTCTCCTTCTTAATCTTCACTTGTTTTGGCTGACAAAGTCTAGTGTCTGTCCAATTAAGAATGCTTAGTTACACACCTCATTGTTCATTATGTCATGGTTGGTTAACATCCATACAAGTGTTTTCTACCAAACCAAGGATATCCCATTTTCTTCTGAGCAAGCAATAATATATCCTCTTGTTGCCAAGATTAAGACAACACAGCAAGACCATTAAAAGGGATATAAATAATATTCTTTACAATTTAAAGACTGAAAATCTCTCATGTTGCTTAACTTTTGTATCTCTTGGTACAATAAATAATTTGTAGGCAGCATTTGGACTGAAAAAACAACTCCAGACACTTTTACTTTCCAGAGACTGCCTATTTACCACTAGCTGTCTCACTAGCACTGGTTGATGAAGGCAATAAAAACAGTTAAGTTTATGTTTCCTAGCATTGTCAGGGATTTGGGAAGTGAATAAATTACAGACAGAAATATTGCACTTTTCAGTCAGGCAGCACATTTCTCAAATGGGAGTCTGTACAAGGAGCCACAGCATTTATGCTCCATCAGTATGTCATGTTTACAAATGCTTATGTCTGCATTTAATATGCAGCTTTAAAAAGACAAATACTATGCACAGTTCTTGTTGCTGTTTGAAGCAGGGTAATTTTTACTACTAAGAGTAATACTGGCTTAACATCTTACTGGAGTTTGTTTTCCTTTGATTTTAGAAAAGGGAAGTGTTAAAGACTGTTACTCAGTGGTTCTACAACCTCATTTTGTTTTTGACTGAATGCCTGAACACTAATGCAACTTCTAAATTTTATTTTCTTTTACTTCATTTTTGACTGTATTTTAATTTTGTTTGAGTATTTGATTTTGTTTTATTGCTACATGTACTGGATTCCTGTAGTTAACATTCCCTCAGTGAAAATGATTTGGACCTCATTTCTAGGATTTAGTTACCTGGAGTGGAAGTTAAAAAGCACTGTTTTATCCTAGTGAGACAGCAGGGATCCCATCAATATTTTCTGTGCTGAGTGATTTTCAGAGCAGATGCAGTTCTCTTTCACATGGGTGTAGATCAAGAGCAACTCTCCTGATAGGAATACATTTATATTCCAGGAAGGATATTTGAATCATATGGCATTTTTCACTTAGCTTTTTTCTCCCGATGGATGTGAAGAATTGCAAAGGCAAGAATGGCATAGCTTGTCATGCACAGAAACCAACACTGGTTCACACGGCAGCTCTTGATCTGTCCAGGTGGCCTACAAGCCTGGCTCCGTGGAAAAGGTGCCCAAGGGCTCAAATCTTGCTGCTGGGCTTGTGGCATATATTTGCAGCTCAGATCCTTCTTCCATTTTAGTATGAAAAGTCCTGCTGACTTCAAAAACAGCATGGACTAGACCTTGAGGTGAAGCCAAGCTCAATTATGAGCAAATACTGCTCAAGTCAAGCAGTAGATTCCTAGAGTGACCCAACTGGAGTCTCACTGGAGATTTTTCAGTCCTAAACTTTTAAATATCAAGATGAGGTTGCATTTCTAAGAGAATCCAAATCTCTATGCTGTGTTTGAGGCCCAGCAGCCCACATCTCAAGGACAGCGTAACTGTCTACACAAAAAG